GCCTAATCGATAACAAAGATATCGCGAAGAAAACTCAGTCATTACAGAAAGAAATTAGTGCAATTCGTCAGCTGCCATACTATGATATTTATGAAACACACATTTTCAGCCGCCGCCAGAACCAAAAGTTTCGATGAGCGAAGATGAAAATGGGCTGCACCCAATAACCAAAGTAACTATGCTAATTTTTTAACTTTTGATAATTCATTGGATATAACTTAATATTTTTTATTGTTTATTTAAATAATAGAGTCGGTAAATTCCATTTCCAGAACTCTGTTTGTTTCATTTATTTTAAAGGTATCGGTAACGTTGGAACTGGTAAAGGTACCAGTCGACGAGTATGGCTATGAAATCTTCTCTTCTGATGACTACGACAAGGAGGTTTGTAATCATATTTGTTTAATGGAAAACAAGCGTAAGATCCAACATCAATTCGAGTGTACATATAGGGTCGAAACCGTAATTTCTCTGAAACACCGAATTTTCCCTCCCGTTTTTGTGCTGAAAGCTGTCACAGTCTGACACACTGACACAGAGAAACACGCGTAGGTCGGCGACGACAGCTTGTTCTTCTCCTCCGACGAGGACGTCGGCGAAATGGAGGCGTACTCTGTTAGCCAAATGACGCAAACGGATTTCGAGCGGAAAGATGCAGGCAGTAGGTTTAAAAATCAAATTCAAGAATAGCCTACCTAGCTTCCAAAAATCAAAATCTTTCCTCATCATAAACCAGGTTTGGGTTCTCTTTCAAGACCCTGCTAATCTGCTAATCTGCTGGTCGGATCTCTTAAGCAATCCTGAAAAAAGTATGGAGGGAGCAAGCAGAGCAAGAGGAATGAGAGATGGAAAAAAAAAAAAAAAAAAAAAAAAAAAAAAAAAAAGGGGGGGGGGGGGGGGGGGGGGGGGAAATTCTTGAATTTTAAAGGACAAATGGAATTCAAAACCTCTTTCTAGACCCAGAAATCTCCTCTAGCCTTCTCAGTCTACTTATCAAGCAGCATCTCCCAAACCACAAATCAGCAACTTTCAATCAAGACCAGGGTGATTGGACTAATCCAAGGTGAGGTGTTCCTTAGCCCAGAGTGGAAATTTTGAGAGGCTATCGCCTGCTGATTAGATGAATTAGAAGCATGAGCAGCTTCTAATAGATGAAATTTAGGATTTTCAAAGTATCCTTTAAGTAGTTTCCATGGTTTTTACTATTTTTCGAAAGGTATTCACGAACACTTCCACAGAATCCAATTCTAGATAATTTAACATGTTACAATTTAGATAGTAAAAAGACACATTGAGCTGGACCTTTTTTATTCACTCAAAATCTACATCTATAGAGTGAAAGATATACGAATTGGCCTTTTCGCCGAAACTGATTTTTAAAGTCTTGGGTTAATTAATCCTACTATATATAAAAAAATAGTGTCTGTGTGTGTGTGTGTGCCACTTTGGGTACACATAGGACTAACAGAGGGGGAATAAAATAACGGGGGCACTCATTATTATGAAATTTGCAATTACTGAGGGATTTTGCGAGTGCCATTCGATAGAGCGTCGAAAAACATACTAAGAGAATTAATTTCAGCCCGAAATAATGTAATAGAAATTTTTTATTGAATAAACAAAAATTGAGGAAAATCTATGGGCAGCACAAGGATAACGGGGGAAAGTCAAATTTTCGAAATTCCCTCGACATTTTCGGTATTTTGAAAACGTCATTCGATAAAGCGTCGAAAACTGCCCTAGGAAAATTAATTTCAGCCCGAAATAATGTAAATGAAATTTTTTTTATCGAATAAACAAAATTGATCAAAATCCATGGGCAGCACATAGGATAACGGGGGGAAGCCAAATTTTTGAGATTTTCGATATTTTGAAAACGCGAATCGATAGAACATCAAAAAATATACTAAGAGATTTTTTACAACGCGAAAAATGTATTATAAAAGTTTTATAGCCTAAAAACTATTTTTGAAAACTATGGGCAGCACATAGGATAACAGGGGGGGAAAAAATTTTCGGCGTTTTGAATATTTTCGAAATTTTGAAAATGCCATTCGATAGAGGACCGAAAAATATACTAAGAGTTTTTTTTACAGCCCGAAAAAAGCTTATTTAAAAATACTTTTATCATATAAAAAGTTTGAGTGCCCCCCCGTTATTTTTTTCCCCCCCCGTTATCCTATGTGTACCCCACTTTGCATGGAACTTCCGTCAGGTTGTTCCAGTAGTATCTTAATAAGGGGAGTAGTTAAAGGCATGTTTGATACGTCATTAGGTGCGTAATGGACCGGGGATGACTGCACGCCAATAAAATTTTGAAAAATTATATGTTTTCGACGTTAAAATTAGGTTTTTGTTGAAAAATCGGCCACGCTCTTTGTTAGGAAACAATTAGCATACGCCGGAAGTTGCGGTAGCCTATATAAGGGAAGAGAAGTAGCGTTTCTCATTTTTGTGATCGAAAATCGTGAGAATTATGCAAAGTGAAGAATATCATGGGATCACACGGGGCCAGGGTTGAAAAGTCGCGAAGCGGCTTTTCAACCCTGGTTTTACATTAACTTATTTTTTTCTATTACTTAATTTTGAATGATTTGATATTTATTATGATTTAATTCCGATATTGGTCAATTTTTGAATTTATGTTATTTTAATTGTCGTTATTCATCGACCTCCTGTATTTTTGGACACAATGATTTTTCGATTTTTCGTACTAAAAGAGTATTTTACTATTTATGGTGCTTTCTCAAAGGTCAACTTTGGTATAAATTGATAATTCTCCAACTTTAAAGTAATTACGCTATTTTTTTAGCCGACGCTACCCCGGCAAGTTCGGCTCTCCTCAGCAGAAGCGCCACAAGTCGTCGAGCCGACCGTCGTTGAGGTATTTTCACGAAGATTTTGATGATGATTGACGAGTTGGAAATAGCTTTGAGTAATGATCATAATAAAAATAGCTCGATGATTTAAACTATATACTTTATCAATTTTCAGGCCTCCTCAAGCGAGCAGACGGCAACCAGCGAGCCCGAGTCGGCCAAAGAGTCCGAGGCTGAGGTCTCCGATTCCTGGAAAGAACGGTTGTCAAGAAGGGCTTCTTCTACAGAAAAACGGAGTATTGAGGTAAGGCATAAGGCATATTTAGATTTATTTACCATCACAAATATTCGAAAAATCGTTAAAAATCGAGGAAGAGAAAAATGTGTTTCAATAAAAATTAAAAAGCCGCAAAACTTGGCTCGCGACGGGTACTCATTGGATGCTTTTTCAACTAGTTATTTTTGGGAATAGCATACCTTAAACTAATGGTGACAGCAATTACGCTTATTTAGTGGCTTTATATTTTATTAGTTATTGGTATTAGTAAAATATGTAACACGAAACCTTAAAATGCGATAAATTTCCTTTCATTTGATGTTATGTCGTTCTTATAACATCCAAAAATTGTGTATTTTTGGCGTTAAAGGTACCTGTAATTCCGAGCTATGGAGTCTGTTGATTTTTGTGTCAATATCTCTGGTTGACCGCGACGCAACATGCTGCTTAGACGCCGCCGAATTGATTACGTAATGGAAGCCAGGGCGCGCGCGCGTTGCGTGTCGCGGAAGCGCCACACGGGGAATCGGGGAATCCATAGCCAAAAAAACCCAATTTTGCCTTGAACGCCTCTTTAAAGGCGTATTCTTCAACGGTAATGCCAAAAATTAAAAAAAATGCTAAAATAACATGTTTCAGGAAAGACTAAAAATAGGAAAATTATTTTTATTACTGCCAAACCAGCCACAAAAGCCCCAATGCCGAAATACTATGAAAAATTTGTTGCAATAACATGTTTCATCAAAAATTAACAATTAACAAACAGAAAAATCATTTTTTGCAAGTACGGCGCTGCACTTTCAAAAACTCAAAAATCCTTCAGATCACAGCGCCGGAAATTCTGGAGGAACTACTGGGGGACGAGGTGCACTTTATGATCGAATCCGGGATGCAGACCGAGCGCAGCGGGTTTATAAGAAGGGTACGGTATTGTTCATTCTTGATTTGCCGATTTTCGATTTTATTCAATTCATAATCTTATCCTAAATTATTTAACTTCCTCGACGGGACATAGATTATTTACCTGAATCTTTCCATCGAGTCTAAAAAAACCGAAACATATTTTTGCACCTCAGCTTGCCGGAAGCAGCGTTTTAAGCGTTCGTATTTAATGGCCGTTTTAATATAACGTCGTCATATAAAATATTCGATTTTAATGACGTAACCAAAATCCGAATTATTTTAACACATTGAAATCCTTAGGAAGAACCACAACCGCAAAAATCGGACGATACCGTCACCGAGGAGGCCGTGCGCTACATGGTGAATGGCGCGACGCAAACTGGTGCGTTTTTGGAATCAACTAAAAACAGGGTTATAGTGTTTTCTGTAGTTTGTATTCTGTAGTTTGTAGGTTATAGCCTGGGTAACAACTTTCATTCGTATTTCTTTAATCGAAATTCCCGAAATTGAAGAACTCTCAAATTTTTACAGGTTATACCGAATTTCGAAACATCAAATTTTCAAAACAAATTCTCAAATATTGTGAATGGGGTTTTATGAACAGCATAAAGGTATGTAAAAGTTATGAAAAAGGTGGATTCCAGTTTATAGAAAAGGTTAAACATAGATTTATAGTTAAACTCAATCAAAAATTTGGATTGAAACAATTGAGTCCCTGGTGTTTCTTTCGGTTTTGACGCTTTTCTGAAACCTGGAATTTTCAAAAAATTTGAGATTGAGACCGGTATTCCAATAATAGCACATTTTTAGCTTATAAATAGCAGCTTTCAAGTTTCCGAGGTTTTTAGCACGTTTTATGAATAGTTTTAAGATTTTTCAGATTCGGCCTACGACACAACGCTCATCCAGACCGAAATGATCTCCCGCATTGATATGGCTAGTTTTTTGGATAATTAATAGCTAAGGGAATTAAATCAGTGAAATATTAAAGTATTTAATAGGAAAATTACATCGGTGATCTGGTAAGAAGCCCGGGGAAAGCTGACTATGCAATAAGATATCAAAATAGCAGAGTATAGCCGCGAAACATAGCTATCCTCATCCGAATTATTTAATCTTTTGTATTGCCTTTAAAGTTGCCATAGTTATTCTCTAATTTTATAGTATTGACCTCAGGGATAAATTTTTGGTTTGTAGATTAAAGCAAAGCATAAACATTTTTTAACAGAATAGCCACCTCAAAAAAAATTGGCAAGAAAAATTATTGTAAAAACGATTTTCCTTGATGAGACTGTTCCTAGAAGCCGCCCTTAATTTTTAAATAACGAAGAAACATATGTGTTTCGTTGTTTACTTAAATCTTTCAGGTGACTCAAAAATTTTTAGAAAGTTAAAAATCGCGGTTTTTTGAGCAAACTTTAAATTTGGAGTAAAATTTCTAGATTTTTCAACATAAACCAAGTAAGGTATTTTTGTGAGAACCATGCCATGAGCCCTTTTTATTGTTTAGTTGCTATAGATACGGGCACGGTTGCTAGAACATCAATTGGTTCCGGTACTTGTTCTTAATTTTTAACTAAAGATGAAAGATATTTTATGAAAACGAAAGTATGCAAGAGAGCTAAAAATCAACTAATTAATTTTTATTAATTCTTTTAAGATAATTTTTAAGGCTCAGTACAAGGACCATTTTTTACGGTTAAGTTTTGCCACTCCGCTAAGGCTTTTGATCCTAAATTAAATTAAAATTTGTTTTTCCTCATGAAACGGCACCGATTGCTGTATGCAATTGCTCTGGATTTTTAAATAGAGATGAAACATTTCTTTTCAGGAATCCCAAAATCCAATGTCGAGCTGCAAGACTCGGTCGACTAGACATACCCCGAATATAAAAATACGGGCGCCCAGAGTGTTGTCACCACCATTCAACAGGATCAGGCGGGTTATTTAATTATTAGGTTGGACCGAAAGTTCGTGCAATATTTTTCTGTATTTGATATTTTCGCTCCGGAAAACGGTAGATAAACAAAATGTTTTAGTGATTGACCTATGCAGAATCAACTGCTCTATTGAGCCCGTAGGTCGGAATCACAATCCATTTCCTTTGAATTTTGACAGAACAATTTACAGAGAATCGAAAAAGGCTGTGGCCCAAAGTTGTTCCAAAATAGTTCCAATTTATCTGTTTGCATATTTCAGCATTTAAATAGTAGCTAAAAAGTATTATTTTGCTGGCGCTTCATTGCTATGGCAAAGTTATGGTGATCCTGAAAGATGTCCGGGTCAAAAATTTGAGACGCCTCCTAGAGAAACGCAAAAATAATAAAAACTACTGCGGCTAAAAACTTGTAAATTGGATCATACATACTATTAAACTTCGCGATAATGGGGAAAAAGCAACAGTAATATCGGCCCACAAAAATTTTAGAAATAAATTTCCGAAGTTCGATTGTACGAACTTATGGTCCAACCTAATATTTTTAATTGGCATCTTCGATCAGGTGGCTCGATGTGGCATTATGGCAAAAGTTTAATCGTGAAATCTTGCTTTCCATAAAACATCTAATTTTTTAAGGTAACCGAAACGACTACGGAGACTCCCCAGGACGATCTGCGCTTTATGGTATCGTCGAGTACACAGGTTGAGGTCGACCATCGGGATGTGGAGGCACAGGTAAAGCTTTTTAAAATTTTAATGCTATTAATGTCAATTGTAATAATTATTTAAGTCGACTTTTCGAATAAGCATTAGGAAACTTTCGATGCGCCGATTACTGCCGCGTAGCAACACAGCCCTTCCTACGTTTTTTTCTGGAACATACTTTAAAAAAATCGTGTCATAAATTGGTAAAATCGTAGTTAAGCTATTATTTAGGCCATTTAAGCCTATTTTGCTAAGACTTTCCAAGATATACATGTTTGAAAACAGTATATGCTTGGTTTTCCTAATTTCTTTGTTGATTATTATCATGACAAA